AGTGGAGTGTGGAAGACTGAGCATCAGAGGGGAGGGGACCTTAGAGACCATCTCGTCTATTGGTTCTCAAAGTGGATCCCTGGACTGCCACCAGCAACGTCACTCAGATACTTAATAACAGTGCAAACCTAAATCCATTGTACACTCTGGGGTTGGGGCCCAGCAATCTGGTTTTGAACAAGCCCTGCAGGAGAACCTGATGTGTGCACACGTGTGGGGACCAACCCGTTATTGCTCAGGTGGGAAAACTGAGGCCCACTCAGACCTGAAGCCTCACTTCTCCTCACCCGCTGATGTGTGACCCCAAGTCCCCTGGGAGAAGAAGCCTAGTTGCAAATCATCACCTGCAATTTGAAGTATTTCTACTCTTGTAGCTTTCCATTTGTGCCATATATTTGAATGAAACCGTGGATTGTTTCTCTCCTTCCATGGCTCCGCCCAAGTCAGCTGACCCTGGGCTGTAAGACCTGCCATGCCAGAGGACAATGGTGTGATGATGCGTGCCTCACCCCCAAGACCCCTCCACAGTATATACTGGGGGTCAGCCCATCCAAATATGTACTCAAGATCTGATGACATTGTCCAGCTTCTTGTATGTGGTATAGGAGAGAGCAGGAGACAGAAATGTACTGAGTCTCTCCCCTGGATGCCTTTCTGACCCACCACCAGTCAGCCCAGTGGCTGGACTCATCCACTCACAGCTCTCTTACCTCCCACAGGTGACCAACATGATCCCCTGGGTGCTCTTGGCCTGTGCGCTCCCTTGCGCTGCCGACCCGCTGCTTGGCGCCTTTGCCCACAGGGACTTCCAGAAGGGCTCCTCTCAACTTGTCTGCAGCCTTCCTGGCCCCCAGGGCCCACCTGGCCCCCCAGGAACCCCAGGGCTCTCAGGAATGGTGGGAAGAATGGGCTTTCCCGGCAAAGATGGCCAGGATGGCCAGGACGGGGACCGGGGAGACCGCGGAGAGGAAGGTAAGAGGCCCAGTACCTGTCCTTGTTGGTCCCACCTGTGGTTGACAGCATCTGGCACAGAGGGGGTTGGTGAGGTTATGAAAACTAGTATTAATTCCATCTCCTTTTAGACCAAATTAATGTCTCTTTGAAAACCAAAGCAACGTGTTCTCTTGAAAGGAAGAATGGGTATTAAATCTCGTGTTCCTTCCCTGGCTACACCATTGATTTGCTGAGTAACTTTGAGCAATTCTCCTGAAATACTATTCCAAACTCTGGTTGCAAGTGACAGAAACCCAATTTATAGTCCCAGATGGAGTGTATTGGCTCATGCAACTGGGAAGTCCGAGAGTCAAGGTTCAGGAGGTTGGGTCCAGGAGCTCAAGTATTGTTGTCAAGGCTCTGCTTCTCTCTGTGTGTTGGTTTTGTTCTCACAAAGGCTGGAAGTTCTGAAATGGCTACTGGTGAGCTCAAGCCTTCTTCCTCCTGGCTTGATCCATAGAGCAAGTCTCAGGATAACCGATCCTCATGATCACATGTGCATCCTGGACCAATACCTTTGACCCTGGAGGTGAGGTACCAACATTTGCCAGGACAACATCATGTGCCCACCTTGAGTGTGTGTAAGTGAATGGTGAGGGCAATTGATCTCTGTGATTGACAGCCCCACCGGGACCACAGGAAGCAGCGAAGTGCAGTTCCCTGAAGGAAGGGATGCCAGGCAGCCAGCAGACAGGTTGGATTCTCTGCACGCCCACTCGGCCTTCCTAGCGCTTATAGCTCTGAACTCTCTCCCCAGTAACCAAATACTTTCCGGTGTCAGCAGCATCCCAAAGTGTACATTTTAAGCAGGAGGGAAATTGTAATAACTTTTCTTTGTATGGCATTTTAACATTGACAAAGCATCATCTCCCTTCTTGACCGCCGTGGTAGAGGCAGATCTGGGCATGTGCCCCATGCCGGGCCAGCCAGAGTGTCCCCTGACATTCCCCTTAGGGGTCTAGGGGAGGGCGGGAATCTCTGTTGTTGACTTTCCTCCCTTATTTGAGAGCTGTGAGGATATCGGCTTGGGGCTGCTTTTGGCCATCTCTCCTGCCATGTATTGAGGCTGCTGAGGATGGATTAAGCAAACATGCCAAGGAAGGCAGCACTGAGAGATGGAGAATCCTGACAGTGTAAGCCAGTTAAGCTGGGTCACCTTGGGCCCAGTCATAGTATACAGGACAACATCCAACTACCTACCCCAGACAGGCCTGTACAAATCCATCTCCAGAAAGATCTTGAAAAGTAAAGTCAGCTTTTCCTGAAGTTTCTCAAAAAGTAATCAAGAAAAAGTAATCATAATGCATGGTAGAAGCTTCCTTATTTGTCTGACCCCGAAAACTTAAATCCAAAATGACTCTCGGCCCCTTCTACCATGTTTTATTTTCGCGTTTTCAAGGAGAAGCTTTGTGACCTTTCTTAGTTTTATTTTTTCCTATATCTTTTATTTACTTTTAATTATGTAAGTAATACACAGATACATTCTCATTGTAATATAGTCAAACAACACAAAGCGAGAGTCCCTCCTAATTCCTACCTCCTTCTTGTCCCCTTTCATCATCCAGAGGAAACCACTGATAACTGGTTAAATGTGTATCCTTTCTGGCCTTTTAAAAATATATTTACACGTGTGTATAATAATATCAGGCATTGCCAGGCACTTGGCATAGGCAATCTGTTCCTGAAAATTAGATGTTCACTGAAAAAATACTATTTGGGAATCTATTTCCCAATTACTTAAAATAGGAAAAATTTAAATGCATTACATGTTAACCCAAACTCTAAAACACAGTAAAACGCCTACATATATACATATAAGAAGCAAAGTACCTTGTTAGGATATAAAATACTTAAAACATTACTTTCTGATCGCCTAGTTCATGTGGTGGCCAACCAAGGGTTGCCTCTGTAGAGTGATGCTGGAATGTTCTTTAGCACCAGCAATGTTCAGAAGACTTCTTGATTGACATTCGGCTTGCTTTTTAAAACACCTACACACAATTTTGCTGGACTACCAATTGTACCAATTGTACAATTGTGCTTGGATGTGGCTCATAATATGTTCTGTTTAAAACGTTATATTGAGCTTAGGGATATGACTATAAATATTTCCTCTATAATCATTGGCCAAAAATGTCATATTGAGAGAAATGCACATTTTATGAAATACAGGTATTAAAAACCAAGAGATATTCTACAGGAAATGTTCTGCAGGATATGCTGAGTGTATTTAGCGAGTGTTTACTGTGGGCCAGGCACTCTTCTACGCACTTAAATGGGTATAGAAATAGTATTGTGGTTTCCTTTTAACAAAAAAGGAAAAAAGTTCTGCCACCTGCTCTTTCCTCCTTTTTTTTTTTTTACTCTTTCCTCTTAACAGGGTATTTTAGAGTTTTCATGTAGTGCATATAAATCTGCCTCATTTTTTAAAACTTCTGCATAGAGTTGCACATTATAAATGGACCATGATTTTTTAATTATTTCCCCTTGGATGAGCATTTAGTTGTTCCAAGTGCTTGCTGTTGTAAGCACTGCTGCAGTAAACACCCTTGAGTATGAGGGCAGGGATCATGTGGGTGCTAGGCAGGGATTTCACTCTAAGATCAGTGTTTTGAGATAAAGAGGCTTCTTCCAATTCTCTTCTCAACCCATTAACAGCACAGCCCATTGAAAGATTGGTCTGGCAAACAAACCAGACTCATCCTTAGAAGCCAGGAAAAGGGAAGGGTGTGAATTGTTACAAGTTATTTTTGCCCTGATTCACAATGATTCTGGAAGGTCAGTGTCACCATTCCCATCTTCCAGATAGGACGAAGTGTCCCAGGTTACGCCATTGAGACTTGCACTCATTTTTTTTTCATGACTTTAAAGCCTCTTGTTCTTCTCAGTACCCAAATGGTGATAAGCCAAGACCCACAGTCTCTGCCTAGTTCTCTGAGGGTCCCTCCATAACAACAGCTGCTCTGTCTTCCAGGTCCACCTGGCCGGACAGGTAACCGGGGAAAGCCAGGACCGAAGGGCAAAGCCGGGGCCATTGGGCAGGCTGGCCCTCGCGGCCCCAAGGGGGTGAGCGGTACCCCAGGGAAGCACGGCACACCAGGCAAGAAGGGGCCCAAGGGCAAGAAGGGGGAGCCGGGTCTCCCGGGCCCCTGCAGCTGCAGCAGTGGCCACGCCAAGTCGGCCTTCTCAGTGGCAGTGACCAAGAGCTACCCGCGGGAGCGGCTGCCCATCAAGTTTGACAAGATCCTGATGAACGAGGGTAGCCACTACAATGCATCCAGCGGCAAGTTCGTCTGCAGTGTGCCAGGGATCTACTACTTCACCTACGACATCACTCTGGCCAACAAGCACCTGGCTATTGGCCTGGTGCACAATGGCCAGTACCGCATCCGGACCTTCGACGCCAACACAGGCAACCACGACGTGGCCTCGGGCTCCACCATCCTGGCTCTCAAGCAGGGTGATGAGGTCTGGCTGCAGATCTTCTACTCAGAGCAGAATGGGCTCTTCTACGACCCTTACTGGACCGACAGCCTCTTCACAGGTTTCCTCATCTATGCCGACCAGGACGACCCCAATGAGGTATAGACAGGCCGGTGCTGGGTCTCCAGGGAGGGAACAAGCTCCTGGACTTGGGTTTACAGACCAAGACCCCTAAACTGTCTGCCGGGGCTGGGGGACTGGAGCTTCTGGACTCAGGCCACATCCTCTGCCCCTTTTCCCCTCCATCATTAAATCCAAGCTTTTTTATTCATCCTTCCATCTATCCACTCACTAATTTTTTTTTAGTACTTATTGCGTGACAGACACTGTGCTACACTCTGACAGGTATCACAGTGAACAAGGCAGACAGAGGTTCTGTCCTCATGGAGCTTACATCTAGTGGGAGATACAATTTACAAATAAACAAACAAATAATGTAATTCTTGTGCCTAGACGGATATGCACATGCCATGGTCAAGAGTAATCGGAATAGTAGGAGACAGGGAAGAGGTGGGAATTTTTTTTTAGATTCCATCTTTTTAGGTTTACTTATATACAAGTAAAGTCTACAAATCGTAAATGAACAGCTCAATGAATTTTTACATATATGCACACCTTGTAACCTCCATGTAGCTCAAGAACAGAGTATTTGCAGCCCCACAACTCCCCAAGGCTCTCTTAAGTCTGCTCCAAGTCAGTACCAGGAAGAGGCTAATTTTCAAGCTGAGCACTGAAGCAGGAGGGAGATCAATGCAGAGGTCTGGAGCAAGGGGTCTCCTGGCCTAAGGAGCTGCAAGTGTAAAAAGCCTTGACATTGGAAAGAGCTTGGCGTATCTGAGGAACTGACTTGAAGGCCAGGGGGATGGAGTGAAGTGACAAAGGAGACAGGAGGCAAGAGGTGCAAGGCTGGAAGATTATACAGAGCCTCACAGGCCAGGGCAGAGTTCATTCCACTCCAGAAAGCTTGTCGATGCAAGAGTGAGCATGACATTCAATCAGGGGTAACCTATATTGAATCTATCTGCTCCATGCATGAGTCAAGTGAGTCTCATACTTAAGCACTTTATTATTAGTTACAAATCACCTGCAGGCCCACTTCTCAATCAATGAGATACACCAGGATACCCGCGTGCCTGAGAACCACAGCTCTAAAAGGAAGGCATAGGCAGCATGTAAATGAATCTTACCACCGCCCCAGGGGTTTCCAGTGTGCTGGGATCTAAGCAACATAAGAAGCCACAGTACAAAGCGGGTGGTGTGGAGAGGGCCCCACGGGTCAGTCATTGGGGGAACTCCTCGGCACATTGCTCTCACCAAACGCTAGCTGGGAAGTGGGGGCCAGCAGGGCCCTCAGGGACAGGGAACACTGCCTGGGGTGGTCCTGGAAGGGGCAGCCCCCTCCCTAAATAAAATGGGGTTTACTTAAAATAACTCCATTCTCACTGGGCCACAAGAAGTATGGGGTTTGGGTGATTCTGAGAAACCCAGGAAGGGGTTTGGGCCCCAAACGGATTCATGTGTAGGTCAGGGCCAGCTTCTGAGTGCTAGGGGCATCTTTATGAACAGTTCCTTTTACTTTTCCTTTATCCTTTTTTATTTTTAAATTTTGGGGGAAGTACCTTTAACTACTTCCCAGGCATTTGAAGGCAGCGGACTTAACCCTTTGTAGCCTGGGTAATAAATCCAGCCTGAGCAAGATGAGCAGGACCCTGAAGTTCTGGTTGCCACTTCTGGGCCTGACTTAAACCCATGTTTCCTTGGCACCCTGCCAGGGAATCCCCAGGTGGATGGAGATCATGGGGTGGGGGGTAGGGCACGTAGAGGCAGAGACCCTGCAGGACCCAGGCTTGGGGTCTTGTCTCCCTTGGATGTGGTCCAGCGCTGCTGGAATTGGCGAGATGGGAGTGCTGGGTTTGTGGCAGGTGGGCAGAAGTGGGTGACACAGTTCAGGGGTCCCTGGTAATCAGCTAATGGCAAGAATGAAGACTGATTTATCCCCTAACACTTCTGAGGGTGGCTGCTTTCTTGGTGAACCACTGCAGTTCTCAGACACGTGATTCAGGTCAGAGGCCCAAACAAGGAAGGTGTTCAACGAGGTGGCTTTCCCAGACACATTAGGGCGCCAGCCCCTGGCTATGGGCCTACCTCCAGGCCTTCACGCTTGTAGGCCTTGATGAAAACCCAGAACCCAGTGCATCTTTGTGCAATAAAATTGGCCTCGACCCCAGGGTCTTTTCTCATAAGGGACATACTTTGAAAGTCAATGTTGTCAAAAATAAAACTAGACCCTAGTTAAAGTGGTAAGGTCAGATTTTAATCGGTAATATACTATTGCAATAGTATATAGGGAATATATAAAATACAAATCTATAATATATAAATTCCAATGATATATAGGAAAAAAAGTCCAATGTGAACTGAGCTCACTTCACATAGTGGTGACTCAGTGTTTTAAAAGGAGAATGAGTGAATAAAGAGAGGAGGGAAGTTGGGGCTCTATTAAGTCAGGAAAGTAAAAAGTTACAAAAACAGGAAGGGGGATTGGACCATGTGAAACCCAGCTGTGTTTGCTAATTGGCCCTTATCGCAGTTAGGCTCCTCCTCCCACAGAGACTGAGAAACATGGATGGGTACTACCTTCAGGTGTTGGCTGGAACAGACAATACATTCTTTTGGCTGGCTTAAGTTTTTTCAGGCAGCTGCTTTTAAGGGGGGCTGAGATCATCCTAGGGTTGCAGCCTTGAGCTATTAGAAACTATATGAGTGTTTGTTCAAGTCTTTATAAGCCAAGGTTGACAGGCCTAGTCAAGAAAAGGGCTCAGAAGAGCCTGGCTAGACTTTGAGCAAGAGTCTTTGTCACCCTCCCCTTCTGGAGAAAGCCTGGAGAATCTGCAGCTCTGGTTATTAAGGTGCACAGAGCACCAGTCTCACGTCTCGATTAGAACTATGACCAGTGGAAGGCAAATGAGGCACTCACCCAAGGCGTAAAATTTAAAGGGTGTCAAAAACCTCAGCAATCAATATAAATAATATTGTAATGTAATATTTTAATAAATCAAAGCTAATGTCAGAAATCTCTATGATGAACAAAATATCAAATGTTTAAATAAAAACGAGATCTTGACAGTGCTGGGATTAGGGTGAGATGACCAAGGCCTAGTCATCCAGCAGCAACATTGACCCCCTGAGCAGTCAGGCCCTTGGGGGTGGAAACGCCTTACTTCACTTCCTGCCTGTCATCTTCACTTGTTTCACCAGGGGGAGCACGTCTACTACGCAAATCTCCAGTCCTGTCCTGAGGTTTAGAGGCTGGAAAGTCTATCCTGGCTTCTCCTCCAGGCTATTTTCTAGATTCAGAGCCAAAGACAAAGCAGGAGAGCGAGGAGGGACAGCCTATCGTTTTACGTGACCATGACCTTCCACTGGGGAAAAGAAAAATAATAAAAACAGAAGAGCTGCATGTCTTCCTAGCGTTTTCAATTGAAGGAATTTCATGTACATTCTAAATTGCAGAGACAACTGGCATGGTGCAGGAATACAGCAGTTGTCTGAGAAACAAGAAATCTGGGTTCCAGTCCTAGCTCTGTCTTCAGATTCCTTGGGTGGCTTTGACCAGGTCATTTCATGTCTAGTGGCCTCAGTTTCCCCATCTGTAAAATGAAGGGTTGGATCCGATGATCTCAAAATCCATTTTGGCACTAAACATTTACGGTTCTGTCTCCAAAGCAGAGCCAAGGAAAGAGGCTGAAATTCCCGAAACACTAATTAAAACAGCTGGAGGAATCAGGCCAGCATGTTCTGAAACACTGAACTTTGACATTTGGCCTTCTGCTTCCACTGAAGACTCAACAAATTGCCGTTATTAGGTTTCTTGAGCTAGGACAGAAATCATGACTAACATTGAACATTAGCCGTATGCTGGGCTTTATGTGTATTGTTTCTTTTCAGCTTCTCAACACCCCTGTGGGCAGCTACTACGATCATCATCCTCACTTTACAGATGGAGAAATTTGAGTCCTAGAAAGAATACCAAAGGTCACCTGGCCGGTAAATGCATAGCTAGGATTGGAACAGACGTCTGAATCCAGAGGCTACGCTTTCTGCTGCACTGGCCATGAGGAGGCCCACCTGCGGGCAACAGGCCCCCCGCTGCCACTCTGTGTGTCCCTTGTGGGGAGGAGCCAGAGAAATGAGGAGACATGCTCTGATTCGGAAGCACTCCTGAGTGGTAGGGGGTCGGGCCCCAAACACTTCTCTCCCACTAAGCAGGGTCCTGTCTAGTCGATGAAAGGTTTCATGCCAATTCAGCCGACATCTCCTAAGCACTCGCTGTGGCAAGGCCAAGGAAGGCACCAACGGTCTCCAAGACAGCTGGGGAGTCAGACTCTCCAGGGCAGAGTGGGGCTGTGAAAGGAGGTGAGACAACCGCACCTCATCTGGCTCTTCAGTTTCCAAGGTGCAGCCTGTGAGTCTGGCCCTAACGACCCCTTGGCCAGCTCCGAAGTATGGCCAGCTTTGCCACTCCCTGGGTCAGGGGAACTGAAAAAAACAGGAAAGACTCTCATTCTGTTCTTTAATGGGTGAGGGGTGGAGGGTAGGGCTTGTGTGTGTTCCTTTTTCTTCATTTTTCTCCTTTCCTGGTGTCACTTTCACAGCTGTCCTCAAGCCCAGGTGGACATTGAAAATGGAGCTCTGAGGGTGAGTTGGAAGGTAAGCTCACAGGCCCAACTCCTCTACCAGCATCTGAGGGCTGCTGAGGCTTACAGCTTGCTTGCTCCCTCCTAATAATCCCAGCGAAAGTCCCGGCCACTCCCCTCTCCCTGCTTCAGAGACAGAAGCCTAAAAAGAAATTCTCAGAAAGGGCCCAGAGATGGCTATGGGCAAATTGCCTTTTTTAAAAAAAGACATTTTTCATCTATTTTATTGAATCAGGTTGGCCCTGATTAAAAACAAGAAGGAAGTTTCATCACTGGCATATATTTTCACTGATGCCCTTGTAGGCTTGCAACAGCCATTCATCCCACCCTCAAGTGGTTTTCGAGCTGAGTCTGGTAATTATCCAAAATGGCCTTCTAATGTGAAAAGTCCATATTCCACTCGGAGCTCCTTTATCCCTTAAAACTCATTAATGTATGAGCTTAATTACATGAAGATCAAGGGCCTCAGAGGTGAAAGGCTAACTAGGGCATTAAATCCTTAACCACTTCTCAGCTGCCCCATCACTTGGCAGAACTGTATGGGTGAATCACTCTGGAAAAGTTCCCCAGCCCCTAGTTTGAGTCCCATTCCAGGCATCGTAGAACCAGAACCTGTTTAGAGGCAGATAGGGAAGGTCTAGAAGAGCCACCTTCTATAAGCCATGGAGAGGAGAGAAATGTGGGAGTCTCTAGGGTGCCTGCCTACCCCTAGGGTGATCTTGGGTTTGAGGATGCCAACGGCT